TATGGGATCGGGAGCACTTTTCGATACGCAATTTCATGAACGAAAAGCACTTTTCAACAGATGAGATTATACTGACGTCAAAGGATTTTCATGACTTACCGGAGGTCATAGATTCTATGGACATCTCACCAAGACATACTAGAACAAAAGATAATACGTTCAACCATGTCGAAAATGGACCGAACGTGTCAAAGCCACATAACAATGCGCATAGAAAAGATGAAGACAAGCGTTCCTGCTTCATTTTGGTCGAGTCGTACAAGGGCGGAGAATCCAGGGAGAAAGTAATAGAAGAACAAAGGAAGAATGGAAATTTGATGCTATCTAAACAAGGTAGGAGCATGAATGAAATGTTTATACTCCCTCATTATGCAACTTTTCCCAGTGATTTGAATTGCAAGCCTGTCGTGTACGATTTCCCGAACCGTGTTTGTTTGAATAAGGATCATTTGCATTCTGGCAGTCCGTTGTGCTTGAGCTGCAAGGATCGAAGATTCGATCGACTCGGTAAAAAATCCCACAGGTCGGGACTCGATTCTGCTTATACAGTGATTGCAAGATCTAGAATCAGGAGCAGGTACGAGGCGCTTCGAAATACATGGTTCTTAAAGCCTGAAGGTCTCGGTACTTGGCTTCAATACAAGCCGTTGAATACGAGATCCAATAAAAAGAATGATTCGGAACCCTCTTCGAAATTAAGCTCTAAAAAGTTGAGGATTTTTCCTTGCCCTGATTCAGTGAGCGATCATGTCGACAACGATGGCTGTATCGTTGGTAATGATCTGAAGACCCGAGTTGAGAAAAATGGCCTTTGTGATCAGCATTCTGTAAACTCGCTATCATCAAACAGCAATCGGGCCCTAGAGCAACCTTCATTGTCCAGCATCGTTCCAGAGACTGACGGTCATTCATCTACCAACTCGTGCCGTGCGACATGTACCTCTATCCAACAGGTTCCATATTGCCTTCATTAGAACTTTGCACGAAGTAGAATGTACTGAATTTGGTCAATGTTACTTTTGGCTAGTTGGGGTCGGTTTTTTTTACTAAATTATGCAACGTACGGTTAGGCTGATCGATACTAACCTTCATTCCAAGTGAATGGTGGACGGTTAACTTTGACCGAACTAGTTAACTTTCTCGTTTAAAAAGTTCACTTTCAATGAATTGCAGGATGGTCTTTCGTTCGAACGTTACGATAGCAAAGAGCTAGATTCCATTGTGAGGTTGGAGGAGTTTTATCAACCGAGCCCAGTTTCAGTCCTTGAACGACGTTTTAAAGAAGAAGCATTTTCGAGTTCCGAGTCCTCAGGCGTTAACGGTAGAGGTGAGCTATCTTATGACTATATTATGATTTCAAGTTCTAAAAGCTCTCTCCTTCCTCATCTAACATATTGTGGCTGTAGAACTTGACCTTCTGATGTGGGACACCCCGGGAACTAACTCAGACGAACATGAATTGTTCGTATCGAGTGAGGAGGATGATGGAGAAGGATCGATATGCAATTCTGATGAAATTTATGATATAATGAGCACGTTCAAGTTCAAAGATAGTCGTGATTTTTCATACCTAGTCGATGTCATAAGCGAGGCAGGCTTGCATCGTAGGAACCTAGAGAAGGGTTATGTTTTGTGGCATGATCAGGAACGTCATGTCATTAGCCCCTCGGTTTTCGAGGCGTTAGAGAAGAAGTTCGGGGAACAAGTTTCTTGGAGGAGATCAGAAAGAAAGCTTCTCTTTGACCGAATAAATTCCGGGTTAGCTGAACTCTTTCGGTCGTTTGTTGGTGTGCCCGAATGGGCAAAGCCTGTCTCGAGAAGGTGTAGGCCATTGCTCGACCAGGAAATGGTCGAGGACGAAGTATGGACCCTTCTCGATAGCCAAGAAAAGGAAGGGAACAAAGATTTAGTCGATAAACAGTTCGGGAAGGAGATCGGGTGGATAGATCTCGGAGATGAGATCGGTTCTATTTGTAGGGAACTAGAGGGATTGCTGATCATTGAGCTTGTTGCAGAGGTTGGTAGCAGCATCATATGATTTTGAATGGTATGATATATAGTTTTCATAGACAAACATTATAGCATACAAAAACAGTGAATTGTTTCTTTTCTTTTCCTTTTTTTAAAGAAAAGGTGAGTCATATATTTGTGTATAGGAAACAGTTTTGATCTTGTTTCAAGTGTTTGATGAGGATGTATTCTTTAATTCATGAGTGGAACCAGAGTTCATTGTTGTTAAGTGTGACAGATTGATATCATTTTTATACATCAAAGCGTTTTGTGATGCCAACTGTGGCGGATTGAGTTATATGTTTGTGTGTTTGTAACGACACAAGCCCACCGTTAGTAGATATTGTCCTCTTTGGGTTGACCTTTCGAGCTTTCCCTTAAGGTTTTTAAAACGTGTCTGCTAGAGAGAGGTTTCGTTCTCCTCCATAACTGATGTAGGATCTCACAATCCACCCCCTTTCAGGGCCCAGCGTCCTTGTTGGCACTCCGCCTCGTGTCCACCTTGATTCTCCCCAATCGATGTGGAATCTCACAATCCACCTCCCTTCTGGGTCCCGCGTCTTTGCTGGCACATTGCCTCGTGTCCACCCTGATCCTCCCCAACCAATGTGGAATCTCACAATCAACTCCCTCCTGGGCCCTGCGTCCTTGCTGGCACATTGCCTTGTGTCCACCTGAATCCTCCCCAACCGATGTGAGATCTCACAATCTGCCCCCCTTTGGAACCCAGTGCTCTCCTTGCTGACACACCACCTCGTGTCCACCCCCCTTCAGGGCTCAGCCTCCTCGCTGATACATCGCCCGGTGTCGGGCTCTGATACCATTTATAACGGCCCAAGCCCACCACTAGTAGATATTGTCATCTATGGGCTTTCCCTTTCGAGCTTCCTCTTAAGGTTTTTTGTCCATGCCCCTTCAGGGCTTAGCCTCTTCGCTGATACATCGCCCGGTGTCGGGCTCTGATACCATTTATAACGGCCCAAGCCCACCACTAGTAGATATTGTCATCTTTGAGCTTTCCCTTTCGAGCTTCCCCTCAAGGTTTTTTGTCCACCTCGCTGATACATCGCTCGGTGTCAGGCTCTAATACCATTTGTAACGACCCAAGCCCACCACTAGTAGATATTGTCATCTTTGGACTTTCCCTTTCGGGTTTCCCTTCAAGGTTTTTAAAACGTGTCTGCTAGAGAGAAATTTCCACACCCTTATGCTTCGTTCTCCTCCCGAACCGAGGTGGGATCCCACAGTAGAAACCTTCGTGTTCTTGTTGGTGATTCGGAAGTTGAGCCAATCCTCTTGACCAATCTTTAATTTTCAGGCTGTTTCTGGTATGCTTTCTGATAAACTATTGATACCTAAACCAATACACCATTGAACAAAGAGTTATTCACCAACTCCATGTCAGCCACTTCCATTTCCTTCTAGCCTGATCTCTTATATATATATAAGCTCGCACAGATTACCCTCAACCCCATCATCAAGGTTACCAAGAACACAAGTTCTATTAGCTCTTCCTTCAGCTTCCTCTCATGGAGTCTTGCAGAGTTCTCTACTTCCCTATTAAGGACATAGCCTGCCTTCTTCTGCTATGCTTGATGTGTTTATCTGTTAACTCGGCCAGACTTCTTGATGAGCAGCCACAGGTTCCGGTGGGTACTCCGGTTGGATCCAACGTCGTCGGGACGCCTGTTGGCAATCTGGGTCAACCTAGTTTGGGTGGGACACCGGTTGGTAATCTGGGGCTAGGAGCTACTACCCCTTCAACAACTCTACCTAGTCCTGGCGGTATTGAAGATGATCATGTCTTAACCTTCTTCATGCATGATATCCTTGGCGGTTCGAACCCGACAGCTCGGGCGGTTACAGGGGCGGTTAACAATCCCGCACTCAATGGCCAGCTTCCCTTTGCCAAACCCAATGGAGCAGTTTTATCAGTTGGCAATGGTGTCCCCCAGAGTAATGGAAACAGTGGTTTGATTAACAACAACAACCTCCCCTTTCTGGTTGGCCTAGGCGGAGCTACATCGCCATTGTTGCAAAACAATGGCGGCGGCGGCGGCGGGAACAACTTCAATGGCGGGTTTAGCTTTCCATCTGTTAATGCTGGACAGCTCCCATCTGGAGTATCGATACAGCAGCTCATGTTCGGCACCATGACAGTGATCGACGATGAGCTCACGGAAGGACACGAGCTCAACTCTGGCTTAATTGGAAAAGCACAAGGATTCTACGTTGTGAGCTCGGAGGATGGAAACAGTCAAACAATGGCATTCACAACCATGTTTCAGAGCGGCCATTACGTCGATAGCCTAAGCTTCTTCGGAGTTCATCGGACCGCCGTGTCGGAGTCGCACTTGGCCATCATGGGAGGCACCGGAAAATATGTAAATGCAAAGGGATATGCCAATGTGAAGACTCTTCCAGGCGCCAACCAGCAGCAAACTGATGGAGTAGAAACTTTGCTGCAATTCACTGTTTACATCAGTTACTAAAAGCACTGTCGTTTTATCATTGATCCTTGAATTGAAAATATGTATTAGTTAATCTGTTTGTTTATGAATTTCTTGTCTGAAATGAAAGCTTATGAATCGAACATTTTATATTCTCTTATTTTTCCCACGTTTTTAATCCAAAATTAAAGATCGTCTCTGTCCCATTTTTTATATTTTTTAAAAATTTTAAAATTATGCCGTAATATTAAAATTTAAATTTTTAGAAATTATATTTAACAATATATTATAGATTTTTTTTATGAAATTAGTGAGAAATTATATTAAAAGGTAAAAGTTATAAATTGAAAAATTAATATAAAAAATGGAGTTTTTTTTTTTTTTTTTTGCGCAAAATAAATGGAAATTATCGCGAGATACAAACGAAGCCCAAGACTAATTGGGCCGGATTAATTGAGTGGGCTAAAACGGCCCTTATTTTGAGGCTCAAAAGGGCAAATTAGTCAATTCGAAAGATTATAATATCACAACCTTTTTCTTGTTCCCAGAAGCCCTAGTCTTCACAGTAGCAGCTCTTTTCACCCGGTTCCATCGTCTCTTCCTAGGGTTTCGCCGCGGGCGGCGCAGAGTCGAAGAGGACGCTAGAAGAAATGGGTTAGTTCTAAAGAAATCTTATCATTATTGAAATTAGACGTTCTCGATTCAGATTCTGGCTCTCTTGTTTCTTGAGGAAAACGATGGAGTTTATGTTGTTGAATTTGATGTTTTTTGGTTTGTAGCGAGGATTAAGGTTCACGAGTTGAGGCAGAAATCGAAGGCTGATCTGTTGACACAGCTTAAAGATCTTAAGGCGGAGCTTTCTCTCCTTCGAGTTGCTAAAGTTACTGGCGGAGCACCAAACAAGCTATCCAAAATGTGATTTCCTTTTCCTCGAGTCTGTTTTTAGGTTTTTTCCGCAATGCATATCATTGTGTTGTTGAATTTGTTGTTCTTTGTGGTTGATTTTGCAGCAAGGTGGTAAGATTATCGATCGCTCAAGTTTTGACAGTAATTTCACAGAAGCAGAAAGCAGCGTTGAGGGAAGCTTACAAGAAGAAGAAGCTTTTGCCTCTCGATCTGCGTCCAAAGAAGACCAGAGCCATTCGTAGAAGGCTCACCAAGCACCAGGTAACTCTTCGGCTTTATCCTGTTTCCTTCCTTCACTCTTTTTGCCTCCAAGTATGGACTATGTTCATGTGCAATCTCCATTGCAAAAAATAGTGCCAAACTAGTTGTTGGCGATTTGATTTTTCAAGAGAGATTTGGATGAGGAATAGTAAATCATTATTGAATTTGGCTTTGGATGCAAATGCTGGCGAAGATACAACCTTGATTCCTGTTCTAATCACTTTCAGTGCTGTTAGCTGGTTGGTAGTCGATTTCTTTCGACCATATTGTTGAGTGAAACCAATTTCTCATGCAGGCATCTCTGGTAACTGAGCGACAGAAGAAAAAGGAGATGTACTATCCATTGAGGAAATATGCTATTAAGGTGTAGTAGTATTGTCTTGTGTTCTTGTGGACAAGTTTTGTCTCGTGTTCCTGATAATCTTATGTCTGATACTCTTTAATCTTTCCCCCCAAAACCGAAATGTTTGATTTCCATAGACAGTTCTATATTTTTACAGATAGCGTAAGTTCAATTTCTGCTATTCCTTTCTTGAAAAATCTTTAGCTTTCTTTTATCGGCTTGTTTGATTGCTTCAGTTTCCTTGTCTGGAAGGAAGATTGTTTATATAGAAAAAATTAAAATATTGTCATAGAACTGTTCTAACAATTCTTAAATATTAAAACAAATTATGAAAATAATTTTTAAGTAAATCGATCTTGTAAATTAAACCAATAACTCCTAAAATAGCTTCTTCTTTTTTTTCTTTTTTTTTTTCACCACAAATTCATAATTGAAAATCACTCTCCACAATGATATGATATGCTCCACTTTGAGCATAAGTTTTTATGGTTTTGTTTTGAGCTTTCTCAAAAGGCCTCATACCAATGGAGTTAGTATTCCTCACTTATAAACTTATGATCATTCTCTAAATTAGCAGATGATACACAAATAGAGAAAATAATAGATGCGGGACTTTTATCATCCAACAATCATTGATACACAATACAACAATCACTTATACACGACTAGAGAAAAAAAAAAGCTCTTTTATTTTGTAATCCACTCGTCTTCGAGCTCAATTTCAAAATGTGTTTATTTGGTATTATTTGGTAAATAACATAGAAAAAGAATAAATCTTGACTAAAGTATTTTTCATTTTTTAAGTACTAAAATTGAAATATTTTTTTAACATTTTTCAAAATGTTTGAAGTTTAATATAATATTTTCCAAATTAAAATTTATATTCAAAATATTTTTCTATTTAGCCTAATTATTATAGGTTTTAAGGAATGCCCCTTAATTTAATGTCCGCAGTTTATTTGACAAAATATATTAAGCTATAAAGTTAATCTTTATAATCTAAAAATATATATAATTTAATATTTATATTTTCAAATGTTAGAATTAGTTTTATAATTTAATAGAACTCCTCTATAATTTTTTTTATCAAACTATAAAAACAATTTATAAGTATATTTATGGCGCCATTAAAATTATATTTTATTATATTGTTTTATTAATTATTGGGACAAAATTTTGAATTTGAGATATTAATATTCTCCCGGTCAACCAGGAACCGAATCTAATATTATTTAAGCGCAGTTCATTCAATTGGGCTGCTATACAGAAAATAATAATACTCATTTTCTTTAATTAAAAAAACGATAATTCCACTAACCGGTAACCGGTAAAGTTTTTGCGGCAACCACTGCAATGAATAGTACGACGAGGAACAGTGGAGTTGAAAGAAATGGACCTTTATTTTATTTTATTAAAAAAAACTGAAAAGTATATATATACTTTTTTTTTTTTTTTTGTTCTCTTCGGCATAATTTCCAAGTGCTTTCCTCTGATCTCCTTTTTCCTTGTCGATTGTATTTATCTGATTATCTTTCCGCTACTTTATCAGAAGCCATCTCTCTCACTGACTTCGCAGCCAGAATCTCCGCTATTGAAGTATTGGAGTAGGATAATTGTTTGAGTTCTTGTTGACTCTCGGTTGAAGATGGGCAGTTCTTCAGCTCAAGGTGAAGTTAATCTGCTAGTGTGGAATTTTTGTTTGATTTTTGTGATTTGGTATTTGCTGTTTGGATTTAAATCTGTGCTATGTATGATCTTTGGGAGGCGTGGAGTGATTTTGTTTGTTTTTTGGATTTTCAGTGGTAGTGGATGGTGTTGGAGATTTGGAGAAGGGGATGTTGAGTCTATCATCAAATCGAAACCCTCTGGGTGAACTCTCGCCGACGCCGTCTCCGTCGTCGACTGCGACGGCTCCGGCTCTGGTTCTATCTAATTCGGGGAAGCGGATAGACCAAGCGGGGAAGAAGAAGTACGTGAAGCAAGTAACCGGACGGCACAACGATACTGAGCTTCATCTGGCGGCGCAGCGGGGAGATCTGGCCGCCGTGAAGCAGATTCTCGATGATATTGATTCACAGATGGTGAAAACTCTTAGTGGCGCCGATTTCGATGCGGAGGTCGCTGAGGTTCGGTCGTTAGTGGTGAACGAGGTCAACGAATTGGGGGAAACGGCTCTGTTCACTGCCGCGGAAAGAGGACACATAGAGGTCGTTAAGGAGCTACTGAAGTACTCCAATAAAGAGACGCTCACAACGAAGAACAGGTCTGCTTTCGATCCGTTGCATATTGCTGCAAGTCAAGGACACCATGGTAAGAATCTCGATCTCATCTTCTGTTTGGTAACGAAGATCCTACGATTAGATCTCATATTCTCCACTTGGAAAACTGGGAATGATACTAAGCTAATTTGAATTGAAGCAATTGTCAAGGAGCTTCTTGATCATGAACCTTCTCTAAGCAAAACGATTGGACCGTCGGGTGCAACTCCACTCATTACAGCAGCAGCAAGAGGCCACACAGCCGTAGTCGAGGAATTGCTTAACAAAGATCGTAGCCTGCTAGAGATTTGTAGATCTAATGGTAAAAATGCATTGCATTTTGCTGTGCGCCCTGGGCATACTGAAATTGTAAGATTGTTGCTCAGCAAAGATCAACAGCTAGCAAGAAGAAATGACAAGAAGGGCCAAACGGCACTGCACATGGCTGTCAAAGGGCAAAGTCGTGATGTGGTGAAGTTGCTTCTTGATGCAGATCCTGCCATTGTTATGCTTCCTGATAAGTTTGGGAACACAGCGCTGCACGTCGCTACGAGGAAAAAGCGTGTGGAGGTAATTAACTTGATTGCTTTTGTGGATGTTGCCTTGTTTATCTTTGATAACTTAGACTGTGAGATCCCACATCGGTTGAGGAGGAGAACGAAACACCCTTTGTAAGGGTGTGGAAACCTCTTCCTAGCAGATGCGTTTTAAAACCTTGAGGGGAAGCCCGAAGAGGACAATATCTGCTAACAGTGGGTTTGGGCTGCTACATAAACATTTTTTAAAACTCTCTCGTGCCGATCTTTTACGGGAAAATCTGGAGAACTAGCATTGAAATGGGATGTTCGGAAATTAGATCGTTGAAAATGAGACTGTGTTTAGAGTGTGCAGTACTAATAGGTTGGGAATACGTGATAAAGGAGGATATAATGGCTTGGTATGTTGGAATACTGGCATTGAAATGAAAAGTTTATCATTTTAGGTCCAATTGATGAACGCTTGCCCTGACTGTGACACACGGAGTTATATGCTATCTAAGCCATTGTGTTGCCTTCCTCGCTTATAGCCTATAACATTGTTTTCAATTTTTCTTTTAATCTTGCTTTCAAACTCTCTCTCGAAAATCTCTCAGCCCCATTTTCTAAAAATCTTCTTCTTAGGGCCAAAGGCTTGAGTCTACGTCGTCCGGCCGTAGGCAAGGCGATTTCGAGTTGGCTGACTCACTTGGTGCTGAGAGTGAGTACCACACAATTGCTTATAAACGTCTCGAGGGGTGCAATTGTGATAATCAACCTTTGGTTTTGAAAATTAAGTTTAGCTTATAAACACTATTTTCACTCGTGTAGGTCGTTATATTATCTACTTTTTACATCAAAATTGAAGAGAAATAGTTTAGTTTTTCTATACTAAATATGCATCCTGTGTTCATATGGAAGGACCCGAAATTTACATCCTTTGTCTTCAAACTTTGCAGATAGTACAGGAGTTGTTGCTCCTCCCAGATACCAATGTGAATGCATTATCCAGAGACCACAAAACTGCTTTTGACATAGCGGAGGAGCTTCCTCTTTCAGAAGAGTCATCAGAAATTAAGGACTGTCTTTCTCGCTACGGTGCTGTCAGAGCCAATGAACTGAACCAACCAAGAGACGAATTGCGGAATACAGTGACTCAAATTAAGAAAGATGTTCATACCCAACTTGAACAAACCAGAAAAACAAACAAAAATGTACACAACATCTCCAAAGAGCTAAGAAAGCTGCACAGGGAAGGAATCAACAATGCAACCAATTCAGTCACCGTGGTGGCTGTCCTCTTTGCCACAGTTGCTTTTGCAGCCATCTTTACGGTACCCGGTGGCGACACGGAGCAAGGAACAGCTGTTGTCGTGGGCTCTGGTTCTTTTAAAATCTTCTTCATCTTCAACGCAATTGCGTTGTTTACGTCGTTAGCAGTCGTGGTGGTGCAGATTACATTAGTCAGAGGTGAGACGAAAGCAGAACGACGAGTCGTGGAGATTATTAATAAACTTATGTGGCTGGCTTCTGTTTGTACTTCGGTTGCATTCATGGCGTCGTCTTATATCGTAGTTGGGCGTAAATATGAATGGGCTGCAGTTGTGATCACTGTGGTTGGAGGTGTGATTATGGCAGGTGTTCTTGGTACCATGACTTACTATGTTGTGAAGTCCAAGAGAAATCGGTCGATCAGGAAGAAGGAAAAGAGCGCTAGACGGAGTGGCTCGAACTCATGGCATCACTCCGACTTCTCAAATTCAGAAGTTGATCGAATTTACGCTCTGTAGAAACTGGAATTTGACAAGACATTGAAGTTAGAAGCTCAAATGTTTGTATGTACGTATGCCTAAGCTCAATTCACTCTTTCAATAAGATTGATATCTTACGACACCAGTTTTACATGAAAGATACATGTTAATCCATAGCTACAAGCGTGTGGATGAAATTGAGAAAGTCGATTGGTGTCGACATGAAGGATGCATGTTATAAACCATTGTCGTAGGGGAGTGGTAAAACCGAGAAAGTTGGTTGGTATCTTATCGATACCAATTTTACATGAAAGATGCATGTTAATCCATAAATGTGGGGGCGTGGACGAATTCGAGGAAGTCAATTGGTGTCGACATGATGGATGCATGTTAATTCATTGTTGTAGGGGAGTGGCTGAAATCGAGAAAGTCGGTTGGTATCTTATGGTCATCAATTTTACATGAAGGGTGCATGTTATTACATAGTTATAGGGGAGTGGATGAAATCAAAAAAGTCAATAGGTATCTTATCGATACCAAGCCAGACACCGAACGATATGCCAGCCTTCTCGTTGTTCCCCGAAGGGAGTAGACACGAGGCGGTGTGCCAGTAAGGATGCTAGCCCCAAAGGGGGGTGGATTTTGGGGCGGTCCCACATCGATTGGAGGAAGGAAAGAGTGTCAGCGAGGACGGTGGGTCCCGAAGAGGGGTGGATTGTAATGTCCCATATTGGTTGGAGGGAGAACAAATTCCCCTCTGTAAGGGTCTGGAAACCTTCCCTAGTAGACACGTTTTAAATCCTTGAATTATAGAAGTGTAGAGGAAATTGAGAAAGTCAATTAATCAATTTTAATATTACTAGCCAGTTTGCCTCTAATAAAATTAATTGTCATAAGAAAAAAGCATAGTAAAACCAACAATTATATTTTTAGTCCCAAAGATTTAAAATAAATCACACTAGAATTATCCCTTAAAAAATTTACCACAAGGATTATAAATTAATAACAGTTTCAATGTTTCAGAGCCGTCAAATGATACGATAAATTAAAAATTAAAAGAAAAGGAAGAAATTAACACATTTGGAAGATTAAAAAAAAAAAAAAAAAAAAAGAAACCATTTGAACATTCCTTCGAACCCAAACAATCCTGATTTCCGCTGCCATTGATTTCTCTTTTTTTCTTGTTCATCTTCTCTTGTTCTTGCTTCCGATCAGAAGCGAAAAGTAGAACAGAATCCTGAACAAAAAACCCCAAGCCACAGTCACCAGCAAGCAATTCCACTTGCTCAAATCCGTCACTCCTTGCTGTTGCAGAATGTCAGATCCCGTCGTCAAGCAAGTGGATCTCGTGATCTTCATCCCCAGAGTGTTGCTCATATTCTCCAGAAGCTTCAATTTCAGGGCGGTCGGCACGATTCCCAGCGGCGTATTGTCGAAAATCTGCACGCCTCTCACGAAGCACTTCGTCGGATTGCCGAATTCGTTCTGTAAAACGGCTTCGTAAGGATACTTCACAAGCGAAATGTAATGGAACCAGATCCAGTAACCTGGAATTCGATCGCGAGTGATGAAGAATCCACTGAAGAGAAGGAAATAGGCTAAAATCGCTACGACAATGGTGTAGCCAAGCATTACATGAGGCACTACTCCCGAAAGGAAAGTGACGAATGAACTTCCCGCCCAGAACGCAGCGAAAATGATCAGAAAGTAGAACAAGAAACCTGTGATTCCGCCGTCCAGTCCGACGGCCCAAAATGTCGTCGCTGCAAAAGCTAAGGACAGGAAGATCAGCGCTGGTAAGGCTACCAGAGAGTGAGATAGAACGTAGGAGGATCTCCTGTATGCGTTGTAGGCTGTTTCTCTCATGAAAATGTACCGTTCTTGAAGAAACACTGGAAGAGCATCGGCGCAGGTGTAGAAGGTTGTGGACATGGCGAAAGCGAAAAACCCTAACCGTTCTTGAACGCCTTTTGGTGAGTTATCTAGTTGCCAAAACATGGTGGCGAGGATGAAACCGGTGACTAAGACGGCGCCGAGTCGGATTCCGAAGAGCTCTGGCATTCGGCGGGAGTTTAGCATCGATCGCTTTGAGAGAACAGCCATTTCGATCCAAAATGGATTTGCGAAGGTTGGAACCATAGAGCTAGGGCTCGCGTCGTTGTTTGTTGCGCCAGAGACTAATTTTCCTCTTGAAATGCTTGCGCTGATGGCTTCCTTTAACGACGTGCTCTGCTGATCTGACTCTGATTTTGGAATGTTCTTCATACTCTGCCATGATTTGTTGAATTCAACCAAGCTCTTGGTTCCTCCTGGAGAGCCTTCGAGTTCTCGAATCCGATCGAGTGCGAACTCAGTCCTGTTCTCGTTTTCCGGTATTGGATGACCAAACTCTGCGAAATACATCGGTAGATTGACAGGGGAGCCACTGTAAACGGTTTGTCCACGAGAGAGAAACAACAGTCGATCTAGCAATCCGAGAATCCGATAACTCGGCTGGTGAACGGACATGACGACGATGCTACCACTCTGAGCAATCCTCTGCAAAACTTTCACCACCATGAACGCACTAGTCGAATCCAGTCCCGATGTCGGCTCGTCGAGGAAGAGAATGATCGGATCGTGGATTATGTCGATTCCAATCGAGACTCGTCTCCGCTCTCCGCCGGAGACGCCGCGGTGTCCTTCATCGCCAATCACAGTCTTCGCTGCATTCCGTAGCCCTAACTGATCAATCAACGCTTGAACTCGCAATTTCTTCTTCGATTTCGAAAGCGTTCGAGGCAGTCGAAACTCAGCCGAGAACATCAGAGTTTCCTCCACCGTAAGCATCGGGAAGAGCAGATCATCTTGCATAACGTAAGCAGAGATTACCTTCAACAATCTCGATTCCAACACCTCGCCGTTTAATCTCACTGTTCCTTTCAAGCTTCCTTTAGCAATTCTATTAGCTAATGCATCAATCAACGTCGATTTTCCCGAGCCACTCGCTCCAAGAACGGCCAAAATTTCGCCCTCTCGAGCCTCACCGGAGATGTTGTTCAACAGAGTCTTCGTCTTCGTGAATAGGGTGTCGCCAACGACTGTCTCATCGGCCGCAGAACCGCCGAGTCTATTCCCCCGTTGCCGGAAAACCGACGAGAAACTAAGCTTACGACGAACTTTGACGCTGTATGTGAGATTGTTGAAGGAGAGCATTAATGGCAGAGACCTCGGCTCCAAATTCACGCCGTCCATGTCCACCACCTGATCATGAACCTGACCATAATCCATTCCTTCAAATTTTGAGTCTAATCTTTGAGCTAATTACAGATTAATTTACTGGTTTTTTCATCAAATTTTCCTTAAATTTGGTTTATGAAACTCCTAATAAACCAATAGTTTACGACTAGGCTGCTATCTTACATTCAAACGATTTCTTATCGAGTATCGATTCGTAAAACATACGTACAAGAATTTCAACTTTTAAATTTAGTAGCTATCTAACACATACCGGCGTCTCGTTTCCATCTCCGTTCGCCTCCCGCCGCATGTCACCGACCCGTTTGAAAAGCTGACCAAGAGTAGGAGATATACCAACAAATGAGCGTGGGCGATTATGAAGCTCCACATCATTAAAAAACGCAACCGTATCTCTAGTGGGTGACATATTCTCGACCATAAATGAGCTTTTAATCACAAAACACTCTCAAATACGACCCCAAAAAAAGCACTTTTTGTAAGAAAATGGGTTCTTAAGGATTTGCAAAAACACAATAAAGCTGATATAATGAGAAGAGAAGGGGGTTGGAGAGTGTGGTTACATAGTTAGGTTAGAGTTGGAACAGTTTCACAAGGAAGAAAGATATGGAAGAAAAAAAGGTGGCCTAAAAATTAATATATAATATGGATATTTTTACGAGAGAAAGGCAGTGGCAAATGGGTTGTTGACACGTGTAATGAGGCATTATTTGGGGTTTCTTAATGTTCACACTTTATGCTTGTAAATTTAGGTTGGGTGTTGATCTACTTGGTGAAGTTATATAAAGGATTATTGTTTATTCAGCACTGCACGGGCCGCCCTAAGGAAGAAAATTTCACACCGCATATGAAGGAGATTGCTTCGAAGTTAGGGCGTGGCAGGTAAGTTTAGCAAACTTGTTGAATTAAATATTTCCAACTTTTAATTTATCAAAAACAAATTAACTTTTTTATTTTATTTTATTTTATTTTAATGCATACAAGTACGTTTTAACGTTGTTTTTTTATATGAAGAGGAGAAAGATTAGCATTTTATAAACTACTGATATGTGCTAGCTCAGTAGCTGAGACGTCTATGGATAAGATAGTAGCAGAGTCATGTTTAAAACTTAGCCAAACATAATCACGAAGAGCGTGGTGTGCTATGGAGAATGTTGGATGAAAATCCCACATTGGCTCATTTAGAGAATGATCATGGGTTTTTTAAGCTCAGAGTAAAGTTATGAGAGCCTAATAATATTATACTATTGTAGAGAATCGTGTTGAGATAAATAAGTACGAACGGCGGTTATAGTAGAACGTGGAATGGAATGAGAAAGCAAGAACTTAAGCTATTGGGGTTTTGAAATTGTGTGAAGTTGGTGGATAATGTTGTTGGGCTACCGCAGGGAATGGGACACCAATCTTAAATGGAAACGTCGACGTTTTTCTCTCTCTTGCCTTGCCCACATGCTTTTCCCAAACGGAGTCCGTTTTGTTTGTTCAAACTTTCTCAACCTTTTTCAGCTAAATTTTTCTTTTCATCACTTCACAATCATATCTGCCATTTTCTTTTTCAGCTAAATATGTTACGTGTCTTTCTTATGACCATCCGATCCGATCGTAGCAAGATCAAGTCTTAACAATGGACTATATTTGGGCCTAAGGCCCAAATTAGTTTATGTTGGACATAGTAAATGATATTGGGCTCAAATAAATTCATATCCATTAAGCTTGTTGGGCCCAAATGATAGATCCAAAAGCAGTCAAGCCCAATCCACAAGCAACCTTGAAGCCCATAATGAGCCGTGGAAAACTCTATAAATAGAGGGCTCCTCTTTAACCTGAATATTTAAACCCTAAAATTTCATTTTATAAGAGAAATAATCGAAGAACGATCTCGTACAACATTCTCCCGTACTTATACGAATCAATACAAATTTAATGATGGTAGGTATATACAAAGAGAAAAGAAAAAAGTAAAAGCCCTAATTTCTGGACCATTTCTGAGTTTGCGAACAGCCGAATTTTCACCTTCCATGAAAAATCTCCATCTCCCGAAGGTAATCTTATTCGTTGTTTCCATTTCAATCTTTTCCTGCCGATTTGGGTTAGCGATATCGTCGATTTGGGTTTCTTATGTTTCTGCCTTGATTCGATTGTTAGTCTCTCTCGTTATCATCAGCAAGACGAACGCGTATTAATCAGCGTTTCGGTATTGTTTGCATCTCTGCCTTTAGGATGGTAATCTCTTTGAATCGGCTGACTAAGACAGCTTTATCTGCTATCGAGTATGTTCCTTTCGAGGCAGATTTGTGGAAGTTTGAATTATTGGTCAAGGAGCAGTTATTCAAATATTGGAATGTCTTCTAGCAATTCAATCGAATTCCTTATTAAGTGGTTGAATATATGGGGAATAATGCCTTTTTTTATTGTTCCTTTTAATTTTATCATTAATTTTGTATTGTTCATAAGGATTCTGGTATTTTTTGTTCATTTATAGGTGGATGGAGAAGTTTTTGCGTGGGTATGAGAGTAATAATTAGGGAGATCGAGGAAGTATGAGACTATGCATAGGTGCTCTGAGATTTAACTATGTTATCCCCAAAAGTTAACTGCTGGAGTTTGATAGAGTTTATTTTGCTGGGTGTCATCTGATCCAATCTCGAGGCGTGGACCATCTAAACTTTTGTAGTTAAATTTTTAACACAAGAACTTCATAGGGCATGCAGGATTTAAGATTTGGATTCGGGTATTATTATATTTTTCACAATTAAAGCTTGCTGCATCGCTACTTGGCTTCAGTTTAATTGATTATTTTGACTCGATGTCGGTGTAAGCTATCTTGTATGTTGAATCCTTTCGTGGATTACTGATGTATTAGTATCCATACAGTGCAGAATTTGAAAGTGATGCCTGAGATTTTAGTGAGAATTCTGCGTTGGATTAAAGTGATAATAGATGAAGAAAATTTATCTAGACACTGAGATATTGGAAGAATGATGGCCGTACCAGAAAGTGAAGAGGTGCCATGATATTTTTCTTTGCTGTTTATGTATTTTGAAGAATGGTTATAATTATTGTCAGTAAATGTTGTATTGGCACTTGGCAGGTTGGTTTTAAGCACATTGGGTTGTCAGGTAGTGATTATGATGCAAGTCTCCCTAGCAAGAAAAGGAGATTCCCGGTTATACAGCCTCCTCCGTTTCCATCTAAAGATATATCTCCAGATGGGAATTTAACGAAGACTGAACAGCTCTCTCCACCTAAAGGCCTATCTTTGTTTCATACCAATGAAGATTTAATGAAGAGTGAACGGCCAAGTCTATCTGTGACAATAGTTTCAAGTTCTAGTGAAATCACAAGTCCTAGGTTGTCCAACAAGAACCAGGATTGTGTTTGTAACGAGAACGAAGGAAAATCTGATAGTATCCATGTTATGGGGCTTTAGTCCAGAATGATATTGGAATAACAGGAGTGAAGTTTCAGGAACCCAGTTTGGGAGGGCGTGCTTGTTTTCATGGTTATGTTGAACGTGAACACAAGTCCTTGATAACCGAAAAACACACAGTTCATGCATTAACAGAAATCCGTGTGGGGCTGGAGTTATCATCAACTAACCTCAACTCTTACCTTCTTGCTGCTAACAATGAGGAAGAAATTGATGTAAAAGTTGAATATGGAGGTATCAGTAGGTTTCAAGGAACATATGAATCTGAAACTGATTCCTGAAAAGAGTGATTTGAATTTCCTGAAGCATAATTCTTTGGAACCTGTGTTACTGGACGTGTCTTTAAACAAACAAGGAAGTAACACCCATTGTACTGTGGGGTTTGATTATGATGGTTCTCTTCAACAGTCAATTAGGGAGAATTGGGATCTGAATACCTCAATGGAGTTTTTGGGAAGGCTGTGCAAGTGATGACTGTCGAGTGCAGCTTCCAGTTGTTCATGCAGACACAATTGTCTCTACATGTAGATGCTTAACTGAAATGGTGATAACTGATATTCCGTCAGGAAACCTAACCCCTTCGGATCAGGGTGATCATCTTCATCTAAGTCTTAGTTCATCTAATCTTAGGTATGTATTGCGTCAAGAACAAAGTCCATTCGCTATGTTAGACATTAGGAAATCAAATCATTTTTATGCTTACCAGGCAGAGGTATGCAGTTTGATGATCTTAATGGTGCACTAAAAGTTGTTAAGCCAGAACCATTTGCCGAGGGCTCCAAACTTGAGTTTAGAAGTGATAAAGATAATGGACTGGGACTATCAGATGGTGCTGCAATGAAGCATGAATTAGATGATCAATACAGTCTTGAAATTCCCAACACGTTAGTAGTCCAATGAACATAGTTAAGGCTAAATCTGAATCAGTTTATGTAAGCAAACAGAGAGCACTCGAGGCATTAGGTCGATCTAGCTTTGCCAAATGTTAAGTCGTTAAAAATGATGATGCGACCGATGACTCATCGCAGCCAGCGGAGATAGCCAGTTGGTTAATCCGTGACAAGCTTCTTCATCTCCTAGTGAAACAAGATCTAATTTAGCGAGGTCGGTTTTTACACAATCTGATAGGGGAAACAAATACCCGACATGGCGCATGAAGGGGGAAAAGTACAATCTCAAGGAAGGTGATTATTTCTTAACTGCACTAAAATTGCACTGATTACTCTCTGCATTGCTGATTTCTTTTCATTTTCTAGAGATGGTCCATACAGTGACTTTTCCCAGAAATTTTATGTGAATAGACGTAAGAATCTATCAGCCCGAACGAATTTTACTCGGTAGAAGAGGTAGATTCATTATTAGGATAAACCAAGGTGACTGGATTTTAATCCAGAAGTTCACAATGATCAAATTCTACCATTTGATGCCTGTAGAAGTAAACACGGTTAAACTAAACCCGAGGGTCCATTTTGTAGTGCTGGTCAACGGAGTAGACAAATATTAGATGATGGAACCCCCCTTTGTGATATACCCTCTAGGAGGAGGTCACCTGATATAAGAGAAGGACCTCGTAGATGCATTCGTGAACCTGGGTCCGAATTGGTTGGACTGCGACACGGTGAAACGTCTACGAGGACTTTTGAAGACGAGACCATGGATCCAATATATGCACACCCTCAGCCTCCATTTGAAGTAGATAGGCCTCCTTTTATCCAAGACCAAAGGAACTTCCCTATTCAAAGGAAAAGTTTTCCCAGAGTTGATTCTAGATCTCCAGGACGGTTCAGAGGACGCCCTCCTGGCCAATGGTTTCCATCCAAAAGAAAGTCCGACAGGTTTTTTGGACATTCAGAAATGGCTTGTCGAAGTCCGACAGGTTACGGGATGAGATCTCCTTATCAATCTCCACCTATTGATCGAGATCTGCCAATTCAAAGACGGAGTTTCTTAGTTTCGCCACTGCCTTGGTATGGATTTTGCTCGCGACCACGAACATAGGAACTGAACTGACAGAATCTCCTTTAGAAACAGGAGGTTTGAAGATATGGATCCTCAAGATAGGATAGAGGGCGGTGAATACTTTGATGGGTCTGTCGAACCGATTTGTGATGGCAACAGTGACGATCGAAGAAGGTTTCATGAAAGATATGAACACATCAAAGACACCAACATCGGTACCCATTGCAGCCACAATGTAACAATCCTGATGGTGAAAATTATCATAACAGGTATTATGAACGAAAGGCCGACGCCTTTCCGATACTGTGCTGATGATGAACCAGAGTTTCATGAAAGAGGTAAGTTTAGGGAGAGGGAATTTGATTTACCTAGACGAACAGGGATGATTGAAGAGCATGGAGTTGAAGATTATAGACATGCTCGACACTCGGAATGAACATACTAGGTTCAGGTCGGTCGGGTTGAAATATTTGTTAGACCCAATATAATTATTCGAGTTTGACTCAACTCAACTTGATTGTTTCGACGTTAGATAAATAAAATATTTATTTATTTTCAAATTCCAAATATTGAATTGAGATTTATAATTGGTAAAATTACATTTTAATCCTTCACAAGTTCTTTTTTTTTTTTTTTTTTTTCAAATTTAGATGGAGAATAATAATTTAGAATATTTATGAAATTAAAATAAAAATATTAATCAATGAATAAGATTCCGTTCAATCCAATAATTTAGTCAAATATAAATAAAAATGGTTGGTAGTGGAATAAAGGGTGTGGGCCAGGGTGTCAATAGTCAAAAGCGACGCTATTGAGCTGTCCACGTGTTGCCATTTGAGAACGCCAACGCAAAAATTCCCACTCATTAGGTTGTGGACAATAATGCTTTTCCATACGATAAAAAGTTATAATTATTAAAAATTAGACTCATTACTTTATTATAATTATTTCAAAATAAAAAAACGAAAAACCTTAAAAAATATATAAATTAAATATGTTTACTATTTATCTAGGTTTGTCAAATTTAACTAGTTGTAGAATTGAGTGTTCTTTAAAAAAAATATTTTAAATACTTTTTATAAAATATATTTTAAAAATAAATGGTTAAATGTTTTAAATTTTATAAATGTCAATACAAACGAACAATATGATTGCTTAGAGTGGTCATCAAAGTGATAACCTCGACAATGTGAGATTCCACATCGATTAGAGAGAGGAATAAGTGAGGACGCTGAGCTTTGAAAGGAGGTGAATTGTGAGAACCCCACATCGGCTGGAGAGGGCAATGTATGTTAGCGGTGGGCTTCAGCAATTACAGACAATGAGACAGGAGTGGATATTAACATAATCTTATAGTTCAGTGAGGCGAGAGTGGATAGTAACATAATCTTGTAGTTGTTAGTGATAAACAAGGATCGTTCACAGTGTCTGAAAGTGGTTGATGGTAGGAAATAATGACGACTACGAAAAAGGTCTTTTTTTATTATTATTATTATTTTTTAATATTTGATAGGTTTATAAAACTTTTAAAATAATTAGAAGAATATTAATTAACTTGACAGAGTTGAAATACAAATTATAATTTAAAAAAAAGAATGGTGTGTAAATAATAAATAATGATATAAGTTTAAAAAATTGGGAAAATAATTATAACGGTCTATATTCCATTCCACGCTATGGATGAACTTTTAGATCTTAGAGAGATTCTCAATTTCTCTCTCTCTCAGTCGCATTATATTATAATTTATATAATTTAAAAGGAAAAGGAAAAAAAGAAAAAAAAGGAAAATAACCAAAGCCCTAGTTTTCCTGGATCCTTCTCTATAAGTTTGCGTGGAGCCGAATCTCCACCTTCCACGCAAATTCTCCATCTCCCAATCTTAATCCTTTGCCGATTGCGAATAGTATTTCTCTCGCCATCGTCGATTTGGGTCAATGCCATCGTCGATTTGGGTTTCTCATGTTATTGTCTTGTTTCGATTGTTAGTTTCTCTCGTTACCGTCAGAGATACAAGCGCGTATTAGATCTGCGTTTCGGTATTTTTCGCATCTCTGCCTTTAGGATAGCAATCTCTTTGAATCGGCTGAGTAAGATAGATTTATCTGTTATCGAGCATGTTTCTTTCGAGGCAGAGGGGAGTTTTGTGGAAGTTTGAGTTATTGGTTGAGGAGAAGCTGTTCAAATACTGGGATGTCTTTTAGCAATTCAATCGAATTCCTTATCAAGTGATTCTGACGATTTTCTGGTCGGTTAGATGTGGAATATGCTTGCGTACATGGGGGGTTTATGCTTCTTTATTTGTGTTCCTTTTAATGTTTTTCATCAATTTTGTATTGTACGTTAGGAATCTGGCATCTTTTGTTCTTTTATGAGCTGGATGGAGAAGTTTTTGCGTGGATGTGAGAATAATAATTAGGGAAATCGGGGAAGTATGAGATTGTGCATTGTTGCTCTGAGATTTAATAACATTATGCCCAAAAGTTCACTGCTGGAGTTTGATATAGAGTTAATTGTGCTGGGTCTCATCTGATCCAATCTCAAGGCATGGATCGTCTAAGCTTTTGTGGTTGAAGTTTGAACACAGGAACTTCATATGCTAAGATGGGCATGCAGAATTTAAGATTTGGGTGCAGGTTTTACGATATCTTCAAGATGGAAACGTTCTGCATCGCTAATTTCTATAGTTTTTGCTTTCAGATTAAATGATTGTTTCCACATAATGTCTGTCATATGCTATCTTGCATATTGAATCTTTTTGAAGATTACTAATGTATTAGTATCCATACGGTGCAGAATTTGAGAGTGACTCCTGGGAAGTTAGTGAGAATTTGGTGTTGGAATAAAGTGATAAAAGACCAAGATACTTTTTTAAGCCTCTGAGCTCTTGGAATAATGATGGCCGTACCAGAAAGTGAAGAGGTGCACTATATTTTTCTTTGCTGTTTTCTGGATTTTGAAGATCGTGCTAGGTTTCTCTTATATGGTTATAATTATTGTCAGTAAATGTTCTATTGGCACTTGGCAGGTTGGTTTTAAGCGCATTGGGTTGTCAGCTACTGATTATGGTGCAAGTCTTCCTATCAAGAAAAGGAGATTTCCGGTTGTGCAGTCTCCCCCCTCTCCATCTAAAGATATATCTTCATTTCATCCAGATGGAAATTTAATGAAGATTGAACAGCCATCTCCACCTAAAGATGAGTTGTTTCATATCAATGCAAATTTAACGAGTGAAAGGCCGAGTCTATCTGTGACAATAGTTTCAAGTTCTAGTGCAGTCACAAGTTCTGGGTTGTCGAACAAGAACCAGGATTGCGTTTCTAACGAAAATAAAGGCGAATCTGGAACTGATTCATGTTATGTGGATGTGGTCCAGAGTGATTCTGGAATGCCGGTAGTAAAGTTTCAGGAATCTAGTTTGGGAAGGCATGTTTCTTTGAATGGTTATGTTGAATGTGAAGACAAGTCCTTGGTAACCGAAAAACACACTGTTCATGCATCACCAGAGATCTGTGGGGGGCTGAAGTTATCATCAACTAGCCTTAACTCCGATCCTCATGCTGGTAACAAAGAGGAAGAAATTGATGTAAAAGTTGAAGGAGGAGCTGAAGTACCTGTAGGTTTGAAGGAAGATGTGAAACCAAAATTGGTTCCTGAAAAGAGTGATATGAATTTCCTGAAGCAGAACACTGAGGAACATGTGTTACTGGACTTGTCTTTAAACAAGCAGGAAAGTGGCACCCACTGTGTCAAAGGTAATGCAGGGTCTGATTATGATGGTTCTCTTTTGCATTCAAACAGGGAAAATTGGGATCTAAATACCTCAATGGATTCGTGGGAGAGTTGTACTAGTGATGCACCTGTAGGGCAGATATCATCCACTCAGACAAATACGGCTGCTGAGACGAATGTATGCTCATCTGAAATGGTTGAAAGTGACAATCCATGTGTAAAGCAAAGCTTTTTAGATGGTGAACATAAAGGAAACTCTATTAATGAATGCATACCAGCAAATGATCATCTTCATTTAAGTCTCAATTTATCTTATCCAAAGCCTATGCTTGAAGAAGATCCTTATCTTTCTGAATATGAATCAGATGGCAATTGGGATATTGCTGAGTCTGTCGATGATGATGATAATAATATAGAAGAAGATTATGAAGACGGTGAGGTTCGGGAAACAATGCCTGAAACTGAAGTACAGGTCCATATGTGTGAGAAACGAGGAATTGAGACTTTTGATCATGCTGATTGTGATGATAAGAAGATCAATTCAGTTGGATTGCCTAATCGTGAGGGTTTCACTTTAGGCTCTCTAGAACAGGAAACTGAACCAGAAAATCTGAATGTTAGAAGTGAAGACGATGTTCATACTACAACTATAAGTAAATCTTCTGAACAGGAAAATGAAGATCGTTGTGTGGAAGAAGTACATGCTGTAGAGTATACTAGTATAGAGGATGTAAACAGGCCTGTGAAGGCTGCAGGAAGAAACCAATTGTCTCAATATGATGAAAGGGATGACTTTGAGGGCCAGGACACTGCTGATAAAGCGATTGATGGAATTCAGCAATTGATTCCGGCAGTTTCTCAGGGTGAGGTGGAGAGTGCTATAGCAGTAGATATAGTGCAGAATAAGGATTTAATTTTGCCTAGTGTCAAGGAGTCTGTAAGTAGTGATGATGTGAAGGATATTTATAGTGGCACTAAAAATAGCCGGATAATTAATCTTAATCGAGGTTCTGCTGATTCAACTCCTTGTAAGGAAAAATCTGGTTTTGTCAGGTCAGTTTTATCTCGTACTGATAGAGAGTTTGTACCCAGCATGGCACTTGAGGGAGCAAATGTGCAACCTCAAGAAAGGTGATCATCTGTTACTTGATCTCTTTTATCTGTTTTTCTTCTCAAACCTGTTTTAACGGCTCTTCTGCCTTCCTTATTTTATCCCTTTTTTATTTTTTGTTTTTTTATTTTCAGAGATGACGCTTATGGTGATACTACCAAGAAATTTTCAGTAGACAGATCCCAGGATCAGTCACAATGGAAGAATTTTAGTCATAGAAGAGGGAGAAGTACTAATAGGTTGGATACTCGACCTGGCGAATGGGATTTTGGTCCCAACTTCTCTCCCGAAACATACACCGACCAACAGATTGATTACCATGTTCCTGGTCTTGATCAAAACCGATATAAAATTATACCAGATGGTCCATTTGGTGGTGCTAACCATCGTGGTAGGCAATTGCCAGATGATGAGGGGCCTTATTTTTTCCATGGACCCTCAAGGAGGAAATCACCTGGAAGAAGACATGGGCCCGGTGTACATGGTGGCAAAATGGTTAACAGAATTCCTAGAGATTTTAGTCCAAATAGATGCTTGGATGAGGGCGGTTCCTTTGATCGACAACATGGTGAAAAGTTCACTAGGAATTTTGCTGATGACACAGAGGATCCACTATATGCACGACCTCAACTTCCATATGAGGTAGACAGACCTTTCTTTCGGGAAAGAAGGAACTTCTCATTCCAAAGAAAGAGTTTTCCCAGAATCGATTCCAAATCTCCAGTGAGATCCCGAGCTCGTTCTCCTAACCAATGGTTTTCTTCGAAAAGATCTGATAGGTTTTGTGGACGTTCTGACATGATACCTCGAAGACCTCCAAGTTATAGGATGGACAGGATAAGATCTCCTGATCAGCCTCCTATACGTGGGCGTATGGCAGGCCGAAGACAAGGATTCCGTTACCTTTCGCCATCTGATGATATGATGAGGGACGTGGGTCCTGCACCCGATCATGGCTCCATAAGGTCTCTTATTCCCAATAGGAATCAGAATGAGAGATTACCACTTAGAAACAGAAGTTTTGATGCCATAGATCCCAGAGGAAGGATTGAGAGTGACGAACTTTTTGATGGTCCTGTACGTTCGGGTCAATTGAGTGGGTATAATGGTGGTGAACATGAGGACGACGAAAGAAGATTTAATGAGAGACATGAACCTGTCCATTCTTTTAAGCATCCATATGATGATTCCGATGGTGAGAGATTTCGAAACAACGGTGAAGATTGTTCTAGGCCTTTTAGATTTTGTGCAGAGAATGACTCAAGAATTTCATGGAAGAGAAGGTAGCTTTTTGGGAGAGAAAATGAGTTGAGAACTTATACCAGGCGAGTGGAGATTGGTTTAGACTAGGCCATTCTGTTAGTGTAACTTAGATGGTTCATAGATGATATTTTATGGTGCAAAGGGGGAAAATTTTTATGTTCTCTTTTGTTTTATTTCATAATTGCAATTGTAAAAAATTCCATTCTCCATGCAGAAGAGTATTTGCTTCTCAAGTGCTATTGTGACTTCAAACTGACTAAACAACTATGCAAAAATTGTTCTCTTAATCGTTAAGATCTTTCTTGTCCACTGCGATGATATCTTGCATACAGTGCATGCTTATGCTCTTGATAGGCAATTTCAGCTCTTAGTAGGTAAATTCAGTGTAGTTGTTCTCCCTTTCCAATGCCAATATAAGGTGAAACTAAATAGTTCGAAATACTATCAGTTTGCAATACCTTCTTTTAGTACACGTGCCTTCACTGCTTTACTGTTGAATTTTACAGTTCGTCTAGAGCATGGAGAATCACAAAAGGTATGTCTACAGTATTCTTGTCTAAAAGTTTTTATTTGGTTGCATATGATTTATTGAGCTCATGCAGATTTATTAGTAAAAAAAAGGAGCTCTACTTTAGTTGCACTGTTTAATTTAATTTCTTTTTTCTTATAGATTCTATTTGCAGATGTTCTAAATAGTGATGATGGCGCTTCAAAAGCGATGGTACTGTGTGACGATGACAAACAGCTCTTTGAGGTCCCTTTCTTCCTCTCTAGCTATAAAATCGTATTTTCAGGAAGTTGTACACTAATGCTGTTCATCATGAAATTTTGTTTAACTCTTAGTTGACTTGGCATTATCATGAAGTGGCTGTATGCTCTGGCAGTGTAGTTTGGTTACCTCTGTTTTCAAACCCAAAATCCCTTCTGCAATAGATATCTTTAGTTTATTTTGTTGTTTGTTTATCTAATAGTCTAGGTCAGTTTAGTTCTTTATTCTTACCTGCTTGTGTGATGTGGAATCTGAACAATTTTTTTTTTTTTTTTGTAAACCTTGGACATGTACAAGCTCATCACTGTTAACTACATGTATTCGTGACTTGTATGTGCTATGAAGAAGTTGAAATCTAGATTTTACATGTGAGATCCTACCTTGGTTGGAGAGAGAAACAAAACATTCCTTACAAGGCTTTATAAATCTCTCTCTGGTGGACGCGTTTTAAAATATTGAATGGAATCCCGGAAGGGAAAATTCGAAAGGTAAATTCCAGAAGGGAAAGCTAGAAAGGTAAAACTTAGAAGAGAAAGTCCAAAGAGCACAATATCTGCTAGCAGTGGGCTTGGACTGTTACAAATGGTATCAAAGCAAGTGACCGAGCGGTATGCCAGCAAGGACGTGGGAGATAGATTGTGAGATCCGTGGTTGGAGAGGGGAAGGAAGAATTCTATTTTTTCGAACGTTACTTGTATAGATTTGAGTGTGTCTAGACTTTAAAAAATTTGTATTGTATTGGGAGTATGAACTTGGTGATAAGGTAGGCATAAGATAAATAATCTCCATTTTCAAGCTCATATTGTTGAACTTATTGGCAGGAGTGATATTTTTCTACCCCTATATACATATATATATATATATATATATAGATACCAACTCTTTGGTTGGATCGGATCGGACAGGGAACTTCGATAAAGATCTTTCCACTCATTCATCATACTCAAAGTCAAAGTCACGGCCGACATGGGGGGTTCGGTAAAAGAACGAGAATCGGTGTCGTGGAAGGAAACAACCAAGAGGAGCAGATTCCTAAACAAAAGATGCTCCAAAGGTTAGTGAAGTCCAGAAGTGAGTATCTCAATTGGAATCATTACCATTTCAAAACCCTTCAAATTCTCTTGTAAGGTTGTGCTTATAACTTGATTCTTTTGTAAGGTTGTGCTTATAACTTGATGCTCGAAAACCCGTCAAACCCGTCGAACCGTCCAATTGGATATTCTTGTATCTTAATTTCTATTCCACAATTTTGTGTCAAACAAATTTAAATCTTATATCTAATAAAGTAATATAATTTTATTTGTGTATAATAGATCGTAGAATGTTCTTGTTCACATAAAGACCTTTAGAAAGATACCACTTCATAAGACCCGTGCCATCCGATACTGAGATGAGAGTGAGAGCAGTTGATTACATGGTGTTAAACTTTTGTTGATTCGTTCATATTTACATCATATTTTTGGCGCACGTGCATAGTTTGACATATATCGATTGAATATTATAAGAAAATAACAACAAATTATTTAAACCCATTTGTATAAAATATTTATTTATTAATTTAAATATATTTCTGAATTTTGTTATTTTTAATTTTTTTTTATAAAAATATATCTATCGACATCAATGCTTTAATTTTCGTCTCGATGGCTCTCTTTGATTTTTCGCCCTCTAAGTATGATTGTTATGTAAGTGATACGTTATATAATTTTATTTTAAAAAGTACGACAATTTTTTAATAATAATAATAATAATAATAATTATAATTATTATTATTAATACGCATAAGACTCGGATTAAATTAAAAAGTATATATATATATATTTTTTTTGTTATTTGTTCATGATTTAGTCATGGCGGACCCATTTCTGTAGTTTCGACAAGGAAATTTCCAATATGAAATTCGAACGCCTTCAAAAAGGAAATCCCTAAAGTGAAATTGAAAGTTTGCCGCTAGAACTGGAAGTTGCAGAGCTTCTCTCTCACTCTTCGACCATTTTTTGCCGCCATCGGAGCAACACAGCTTTTGTGCGAGGTAATGCAGTTCAATCACTCTTAATTGCGAGTTATGATTTGATGAAATTCGTGAAGTTTAGACAATATGTATTGAAAATTTGTGAGTGTTTGTACTAATACAGGCATTCGAGCTCATAAATGCTATTGGGAACTCGATTCACCAATGTATGGCGATGGTGGACATCTCCAACGATTTCTACTTCTCATGCTTTCCACTTCAATGCCCGCTTTTTAACCTCTTCTCAACTTGAGGTATATTGTTATTGCGTTTGATATGTTGAGCATGTGCACCTGGAATATTGAACGCTTGCTAATGTCACTTACTCATTCCAAAATTAGACATCATCGAGCAGTCTTCTTGTGGATAACGTTTTGAGTACTACTGAAACTGATGATGTGTTTTTACCGTGGTTGGAAAGAAAATCAAATACGAGGATTTCATCAGTGCTTTCTATTGGGAAATCTGACATTGGCAGGTAATTCAACAGGCTTCTTTGGTTTCAGCCATTACATTCATATGAGGTTTAATCAATTTAATCCAACATCGTTCTTTTGCTAGTTCAGGTTTTTGTTCGCGTCTGAGACTATACGGGCTGGAGATTGCATTTTGAAGGTTCCTTTCAATGTGGTATGGTGTAAATAGCTTCGTGATGAAGTTCATAGTACTCTTGGAAAGTATTTAGAATATAGATGATTGATATCTTTCATTCTTCTTTGCAGCAAATCTCACCTGATATGCTTCCTTCGCCTATTAGAGATCTGTTAGGCGATGAGATTGGAAACGTTGCCAAAGTTGCTCTTGTGATTCTACTTGAACAGAAATTGGGTTCGGTAAGGATTCGGGGTTATGTTTGTTATTTTAAAGATGAGAGCTATCTTTGCATTCAACTTTGCTACTAGCTCGAACAAGAAAATTAATTGAGATTTTTTATTTTGATATTCAAACTTGTTATTTTTGTGGCAGGATTCTAAATGGGCTCCTTACATTATCCGACTTCCGAAACCATGGGAAATGCATAACACAGTTAGTACTCTGCCTATTCCTTTTATGCGCAGAAACAACCAATTTCATGTTGCCGTGGTTGATAGAATGAATTTGATTGCTTGTTTACTCAGCTTGGGTAAGTATTGAGCCAAATGTTATTTTATTTTAGATCAAATGAGTGACTCGTGGCCAACGTGAGCGTAGCTTAGCGATCGCTCACCGATAGTTGACATGTACTCTTGGCCAAGAGGTCAGAGGTTCGAATCCTCACCCCAAAATATTGTTAAACTAAAAAAAAAAGTGTCCCGTGGAATAAATTGCGTCAATTATCCATATGGCGAAGTTAAAAATTCTCTGGATAAAGATTTTGCGGCTATTCTGTGGGAAAGACACTTTTGCTTACTTGTTCTTAAATGAATTTATTCTTTATGGGCATGCAAGAATTTATTAACATTACCTTAAATCATATTCTGTTTTGTATATTCTTCCTCATAAACATCAATTCATTTATATTTTATTCTACACCTTCTCTTAGGTTACATAACAATATTGGTCGTCATGGCTTCCTTTTTTTTTTTTTTTCCGGGGTGGGGGTGTAGTTTGGGGGAGGGGATTCGGCAGCAATTTGATTATAGGTTCTTATTTTTCTTCTTTCTCATTTAGCTTGTTTTTATTTGAGCAATGAGCTGATGAAAATTTCTAAGCTTTCAATTTAATAATGTTTGACATTCAATTGAAAATAGTCATGGACAACGACTTAGCTCTAACTCTTTACTCTTTACGTCTTTTGGGTTTTTGTAGATTTTTTGGAGCGAAAGAGAGTTGGAGATGATTCGTAAAAGCTCTTTGTACGAGGAATCACTTAATCAAAGATCACAAATTGAAAGGGAATTTTTGGCAATCAAGCAAGTTAGTGATTTGCTTCAGCTAATAATTTTTGTATAGCTTGGAATTTTATAACAGGATTGCAATTCCGATTTGCTGTTGGGATGTTATATTCAAGGTATTTGTTAACTAGTTCAATAATAATTAACTTTCAATTAACTACGAACTTGATAAACTTTTTAGTCTATCCTGATAAATCCAAGTATATCATATCATTTCATTAATAAGTTCTTTATATTATGGCATGTAATTTGTTGGTGGATTTTAAGGTACAAAATTGGAAAATGGCATCCTCGTCTAGGAATTTCGTTATTATATGACATGTTGAAAACAAAAGAAGGCTGTAAATATTTTTCCTATTGCATACAAAAGAGCCTTTTATTAGACCATGTTGTTAACTATATTTACTCCCCAATGTTATTTCAGGCTCTGGAAACCTTCCCTGAAATTGTTGATAGCATCAATTGCGATGATTTCATGCATGCTTATGCTCTTGGTATGTTAATTCTGTTGAGAAGGAAGGTATATCAGTGTTGATGTCTTCCTTCTTTAATGCCCCCTTTTAGTGTAGCTAAACAGTTTGGGATACTATTAGTACGCAATTCCTTTTAAAAAAATTATTCTGACTTTTCACTGTTATTCTGTCGACTTTCACAG